ATTGCATTATATATCATCATATAATTATGTAAAAGTAAAACACTGTGTAACACAAGAAAGTTATAAAGAAATCACTTGTACCTGGCATAATACTACAGTGAAATCTCCCCCAGCCATGTAACCATCGAAACCAAATAACACGTTAGCCATATATGCTAACACCGCACTAGGATTATAGCACCATTTAGTTTAGGGCTGGACATGCGGATAGTTCTGCAGAAAACAATAACAATTAATATTTATAAATTTTACAAATACATGTATATACAAAATGGCTCTATTTAGGCAGATTGCAGTCGCAGTATTATTGGTGTTGATCATGACGTTGCTAATGACAAGTATATTATTAATTATCTGTCACCATAACGCCATAAGTTACAGCGTGCTGCAATTTTGCGGTATTCCACTGGGTAAGTTGCATCCTATTATATTGGGAAATGCGAATTCCAAATATGGAACGACTACGCGCGTGAGCGTTCTCTAACAATAAAAATAAACATGATAGCCCCAGGGTTTGACCGGGCCCCACACAAAGAAGTTCGTTAAATCTAGTTATAAACTTTTTGAATTTCGGTATTTCCATGATGTATCCTTGGGAGGAAAAGATGTATAATAATAAGGTTATTACGAGGATACCGCAAAGTATGCACTCAGACAGTACGCGTCGTTTGATATTCCCGCTGTACTGTCTTCGTGTATACTTTGTGGTATTCTCGTAATAACGTCATATCATATACGTTAAATTAAAGAGCAATAATTTGTATAAACAAAAAAGATTTAAATCAAAATGTAAATATGATGTATCTACAGTATATTCAGAAAGGTGTTTACATTATATCCAAATATTATTTTTTTTTGCCTTAACGATATACTTATTCGTGGTTTTAGTTTCAACCTTGACCTACCTTTTTTCTTTGTTCATAACATTGAAAACGACGAGATAAAGTGCAAACGCGATACCCAGTACTGTCAATGCACACATGCAGTAAAATAAGGAGTAACTAATAGCTATGATTTCTCGGTCTTCCAGTTGACGATCCGGGGGAACAACGCCATCTAGTGACAAGAAAGAACAAGTGACAATGTTGATTTAATACGATTCGAAATAAACAAATAGAGTTGCTGTAAATATCAGTAAGCAAAATTCATTGAATCAGAGCCAAATTAATCAATCGAAAAACAACTTTTTAAATATAGGACGGTAATCTAACACTTCAACAAATATAACATCGTGTATGTTAACATTTGCGTGAATACACATGTAAAACAAACTTACGTTGACATCTGTAGGTACCTGAGCCGTGTTGTCTTGTAATGCTTACCTTTCCACGTAATTTCTGATTTCCAATCAAACATACTGTCATGGTACGTACCTCGAAGTACATATTGAGTGTCTGTAATTTTAAACACATTGCACATAAAGATAATAATCCATATTTTTTTTTACGAAATACCGAAATCAGTTTCACTCAATTTCGTTTTTTTGTTTGTTTAACTAAATTATTAAGCTTGACAGAAATATTATAGTTACGTTCTCTCGTCAACTCTAGGGAACACTGGGATTGTGGAGGTGTTTGAGTCAGGCTGTACATGACTGTTTCTCTTATTATACCACATCAACATAGTGATTTATTTTTTCGGATTGTTTTGAACAAATTGCATATGAACTAACATACCAGAATAATAAGATTTATATCGAGCTCAAATAAACCTAGTGCGGTGGGACTTTTGCATACTGGTATTAAAGCGGGAGGGTCGTCACCTGCGCACGCGCGGGAATTGAGTCCCGAGCGATGATAACAACACACGCTAAAAACACAAAGGCTCATGGGTAGACGCGTGTTTGTAAATAATGACACGTTATGGCCATATGACGCATGCGCAGGTGACGTCTCCCCCGCTTTAATATTAATATATACAGTGCAGTCACTTACCAACAAGTTGGTATATCATAACGGTACCTATTCTATCACCAACACTGTTGAATGCCACTGGTCCCTGGGTTTGAAAAAAACATAATACCAATAAAAAATACGTGACGTTCTGTGCAAAGATCAGTGGTAACACTAAATCGGCAAGCAATTTGGCGGTTCAGTTGGGGAAATGAATTCGGATGGAGAATTATAAACGGTGAAATTGTATTTAAAACAAACACATATATTGGTGAATGCATGAAACTAACTGAGAACATTCAGATTGATCATATTTAATACTATTTTCACCAAAAAACAATTTGTTTTTAAACGAGCTATTTTTAATACTATTTTCACCAAAAAAAAGTTTTTTAAGTTTCAGAAGATCGCTGCAACTGCATGATACATGTGATAATTAAATAATGTAGCTTCAGTGCGAACGAGTGACTCCCCGTATAGCGGTTGTATTCATCCGAGTTGCATCACACGATTCAGAGTTAAACACACATAATGTATTATTACTTCCTCAAAAACATTTACACTTCTACATATGCTTGTTCTTTTAATTTCACAAGGCAACCTTCCCTTTGGTATCAACTTAAAGTTTATTGCCGTACTTTTGGGAACTGATTTTGTTTACATTGCGAGAATGTAATAACGACGACATTACCATGTCTATGACATCAGAAGTGTGGTAAAATGGTATCGGGGGACAGCGTATTCTCTATTGTGACGTCATATGGTATATAATATAATGTAGTGATTTACAATGACATGCCAAATACCACCTGATAAGATGTATATTATCTCATGCACTGAGATAATTATTTAAAAATTATTAAAGTTGTAATTCTCCACGCAAATATCCACGTAGCATATTAGTTAATGACTCAATGCTGTAACTTTGATTAATAGATGGAATACTTACGGACACGCCAATAAAACTTGTATCTGCTACGGCAGCAGCGATAATTTCCGCCATTTCCGAATCTTCATACGTGAAGTCTTCCAATGCCTTGCCTGGCGGTAAACGTTGTCTAGTTGTATTCAGTGCATAAGCTATAGACCACACGGCATCATAAACTAACGGCGCAAAATAAGCTGGATACAGTCCAAGTTCGGAGGTTGCGTTCAGGTAGTGTGAGCGGAAATCATTCGTGTGCTGTAAAAGACCGCATAAATTAGTGTAAACGTGATTTGATTGGATATTGCAATGTATATCAATGACATCATAGTCTTATACTTACAATGCCAAAAGTTGTTTGACCTCCTACTGCGTTCCACATCGTATCGTTAACGACTATGTTACCATTAGCAGCCACCATAATCTCTTCAGTTGTGCACGTGATCGCTTCTTCTTCGGCTGCTTTAGTCACGTTCCACCATTCGTGTCCCCTGCCAGCACTGGACAATACCCATGCATACCGTGGAGGATAGAGTCCCTGTTTATATGCCTATAATACAAAAACAAATCATCACTTGTACTTATTATTATACATTATTATGTCGAGGTTGTGCAAATGATACACCTGTGTGAGCTCATTAAAACCAACAACTGGAAACTCTGTACTACGTATGAATGAGTTATCATGAAGTAACAAGTCTATATTTAATAAATAACAAATTCGTTAAACGTTATTAAATTTTTTTTTTTGTGCTAGGCGACAGTTCGGGACGTTGAATCTCACTGTTGTCCCTCCCGTTTTTTTGTCATGTGCAAAATGCAAGTGCTAGTGCCACATATGTCATATTCATGTTTAGCACTACATGACAAGGGTATGTGACTATCGCTATCAAATGGCAATTCATTCAAACGGCGTTATTCTAGCGTCAACCGTACCCGGTCATGCACAAGCAACTACGGGAGTTAACCAAGGTTCTCAAAGTTAGTGATTGAATCTCATTCTCGGTCAGTGGAATTGGTTTTCTTCCCATTGATTCTGTGGCAAACTCACCCAGGATAAGATTTAGGCATGGGTCCACCGATCATAAGTCTGATGCAACAAACAGTAACGGAGTGTTCACCATTGGCCTAATGTTAGGAGCAGGATGAGTCATTACGATATGATTGGCTAATTTAAGTTATACACGGATTGCCTTGTGGAGAGATATGAATGAACAACTCGGGTTAGAATGTGGCTTGCAGTCCTGTCTATTGACTTATCTGTAGTAATTGGAATGAACAAGCTTTTATCCTGGGGTTTCAAAAATGATTAACGTGGAAAAAAATCTATCCCTGAAACATGACAAGACAATATCACACTGCCACACACGTATGCATACTATGCAATTTAGGAATACATATCTTACCTCGCAAAATATTTGTCTCAACTGATCATCGCCATTGAAAATAAATACATAAAATATACGAGCACCGATTTCCTGTTGGAAGAACAAACAAATAGAAACCAATCATTTTATAGTGCGGCGTTTATTACATGAACCATACAGTAGTAGTAACGTGTAATATTTTGTTTATATTACACCCCTGAGCTGTCGCTCAAATCTGATTGGTCCTTGCACGCAATGTGAAATTATGACGTCAACGACTAGTCCCTTCCCTAAGTGCTAAAACATAGCTCGCTTAATGACTATTATTTGATCAATCTCGTTATATACCGATAATATCATGCATTTATCAATTTGTTTTTCCACTGAACCGCCGTTACTGCTTGCCGATTTACTGTCAAAGGTTTGTCAGTTTGTCTCTATAATCGTAAATACAATGATCGCCCCAATTTTTTTTTTAATAACAACGAACAGCGTTGCTGTATGCATATGGTAAAGCGCGCTAAGACGCGTGTGTTTCGTTGGATGACCCGTATTAATCTATTAATAGAGACATAATATAATGTACCTTTAATCTTTTAATCTCATCGTGTATTGACCCCGTCCAGTCTTCAACGGCAAGCACTGTTTTATTGTGTGATATCATGTTGTCCATGTAATAAATTGCATCCTAAAATTAAACATAACATACTACCAGTTACGTAGGATATGTATCTGAGAGCGCAATTAAACATAACATACTACCAGTTACGTAGGTTATGTATCTGAGAGCGCAATTAAACATAACATACTACCAGTTACGTAGGATATGTATCTGAGAGCGCAATTAAACATAACATACTACCAGTTACGTAGGTTATGTATCTGAGAGCGCAATTAAACATAACATACTACCAGTTACGTAGGTTATGTATCTGAGAGCGCAATTAAACATAACATACTACCAGT